ACTTGGAGACTTTTGCTGTTCTTCAACCTTCCCGGATGTCTGCTGCACATCCTTCGACGAACAAGCGGCCTCATCCTTCTGTTCATCCTTTGTGGATGTATCGTCGAGTTTACCCTGGAAGTCGTATTTGTCCACGTCGATGCCTTCTGCTTCCATAGCCTCTCGCAGCCGTGATAGTAACTCCACTTTTCTTCCGGAGGTTGCTAAATTTCGCTTCTCCAACTCCTGTTTGAGTTCCTCGATCTTTAGGTCTTGATTTTTTGCCATTTTCAAAAGTTTATCCTTCGGGATTCATTTAACAATCCCACTTCTGACACCAATTGTTACGATTATCCTTGAAACCTCGAGGGATTTCCAAAAATCTTCGGTTCGTATCTCTGGATTGTTAAATAAATGCTAACGATGATCAAATTTTAGTACAATTAACTTTATTGTACAACAAACAATTTACAATACTCGCTAATACAGTAAAAACTCTTTACAATACATGTTAAAGCAATAACAACGCTTTACTAAACTTGTTAACACAATTGAACTTATAGCTTGCTTATTCGCAACTCACTTCTCTGCTCACTTTACTTGTAGCTTGCTGACTTGTAACTCGTAACTAGCTCACTTCGCTGTGGCGGCGCCATTATATACCTGCGCTCGCACTTATGGCAACTCTCGAACGTTCTGAAGTTCATCGCTCATTCTCTTTCTCTCGCTGTTCGCAGTGTTCATCCAACATGACGTTTCTCTTTGTGGAACATTCTACGTCATTCCTCGAACATTCTGCCTATTTCTCGTTGTTCGCTTTGTGTTGCCGCAGTATTCGCAACAATATAAAAATTGAATATAGCGAGTTTTGAAACAGTAACTATTACATAGCTACCTTTTTTTTGCTTTTCGCGTTCGCTCTTCCATGTAGATTAGACTGCTTCTTTTTTACGACGCCTTTCACTAGGCACTGAAACTACTACGTTTTCTTGCAGGTTTCTAAGTTTACCAGAAGATGGAGACTTTTGAAAGTGTATAAATAAGTATTATAGCGACTTTTGCAATAGTATGTTAACTACTATTGATGCTATTTTTTCAGAAAATAGAAAGATTTTGCACTGTATTGTTAGTGGACATCTAAAACTATCTTAATTTCTTTCTACTTACATAAAGGAAATACATAACAAAATAAAAAAAATATATGCCTTTTTTGCCTTTTTCAAGTTTAAGTGCCTTGAAAACCCACATTTCTACATTTCGAGGGGGGCGTTTCAGAACCCCCACATCCCCGCCACATGTATTTAGAGTTTTGAAACTGAAGACCTTTTTATTTGCCTTTATGCTAACAGATAAACAATATTTTAAGTTTTTTCGTTTGGTGTGTAAATATATAAATTTTGTGGTGTCCCAACTCGTGAACAGGCGACATATAATTGGCCATGTGAAAAGCACGAATTTTTCAAATCCAAACCCGCTATAGTTAATGATTGCCCTTGTGCTTTATTTATAGTTATTGCAAAAGCAAGACGTAAAGAGAATTGAGCCGCTTCAATTCGAACGGTAAATCCTTTGAAATCATCGGTATACGTGGAATCAGCACATCTTCCCATTTTAATATACCGCTGATGATTGTTGCCTTGATCAAATTCGGTGTTAATTTTTTTTATCACTCTGGTTCCGTTGCGCAGTTTTGGCGCATTCAAGTTCCGAATAATCATCACTGGTGATCCAACCTTTAATGCCAACGAATGAGGAGGCATTCCAGGTGGCTCCAAAGAATTAAGAAATTCAGTTGGGTAATTAACAGCTTGATCTATATCCATTACTGTATCAATCGATTTATATTCGAATGCTTCTCCTAGAATTTTCAAATGAATTTGACCGTTTAATTTACTAACATCATCGTTTTTCGAAGCTAAAATTGCACGTTGGCGGAGCCATTCCGGATTTCGGTAGTTGATCGCTAAGTTCGGAAATACTCTGTCGATGACGTCTTGAATGCTCTGCTGCATTTGACAAAATCTGGACGGAAATGATATCTCATTTCCGTTTCCGATATGAAAAAGTTGCTTTGAAAATATTTGGGCAGACGCATTTTGCAGCAAATGCACTCGCATATTTGTTGTGAGCGTAATTTTTTCGACATAGTTTCACAGATGCGATGCTTTTGAGCACGCGTTCAGCTCATCTGTAGCCGTTGATCGTGGTATAACGGGTAATGTTTGACGAAAATCACCTGCAAGAAGTATAACAGCGCCTCCCATCGTTTGATCTTTTCCACGAAAATCTTGCACAGCTCGTTCAACTGCTTCGAGCGATTTCTTATGTGTCATGGTGCATTCGTCCCAAAATATAATTTTGTACGTTTTAAGGACTATGGTTACACCAGAGTTTTTGCTGATGTTGCATGTCCGCTATCAAGTAGTGTTGATGCAATCCCCGGTGATGCTACTGCTACTGCAATCCCATTTCGCATTCCTACTGACGCCAATATTAAATTGATGAGAAAAGTTTTCCCTCCTGGAGCACCTAGGAAGATAACTCCGCCATCTCCTTTGATTACACGTTGCATGATTTTGTCATAAGCTTTTTCTCATCAGCAACTAAAAACTCTTTTTGCGTTTGCACAAATCGTTATTAAAAATTTTATTATATTTTTTAAGCCTTATTAAATTAAGCATTAATATTGAAAATTTTTTTGGTATTTTCCGTCTGGTAAGCTTTCGGTTTGACAGACTTTGAAGTTTATCGCACTATATAGCTTTGGTATGTCTTAAAAATATTATTTGATTTTATTTTCTTGGGTATGTGGAAACCCTATATGATAATTGGTCTTGGCTGAAACATTTCCCATAGCTCCCGTTTGATACGTATCCTGTGAAATACTTTTTAATGCACACATTTATGTAATTTTAGTTTTTTTGAAAGAGGTGGCAACTCTACTCAAAAATATATAAATGTTTCTCCAATACCTCCCGTTTGATACACATATTGTAATATTTGATGTGAATTGCATTAGATATTCATTGTTTTTTGATTTTTGACCAGGTGGCAACACCTATTAAAATATTTTTTGATGTAAATGTTCTTAAATATCTTTCTCAAATACCTTCCATTTGATATCTACACCGTACTACTTTACTTGCATATTCAAATAAATGTTATATTTCTGACAGGTGGAAACTCTTTAAAAAATAGCCAAACTTCACAGGAACACTCTCCGGGATTCTATGAAGCTATTCTGAAAATTTGAACAAAATCGGCTGAGTGGTTTTGGAGTCTATAGGCTGCATAGATACATACATACATACATCCTCTTTTATATATATAGAAGAAGATGAAGCATATTTAACTGATGAAAACATAAGCATTGGATGTTTATATCAATCTCATAGTAGTCTTATTTTAATTTAGAGTCATTTTGTAGTTTTTGTACACCTAAATAGCACATAAATTACGTAATTCACGTAGATATATCGATATTACGTTCAACATTTCATTTAAAATGCCAGATTTCCTGCAAATACATTAGAATTTACAAAAGGAATTTCAGTACTAATTGCCTACTTTACGTACTTTTCTATTACCATTTTCGCACCAAGAGACTTAATTCTTCCCCTTTCGCCGTCCTTCGTAAATGCAACCTTTTGTAAGGGAGTGTCAAACCGCAGCTGTCAATAATTATCTAACCTTGTATTATTGAATCGTGATGGTTCTAGTCAGAAAAATAAGCATTCAATAAATAGGACTAGTGGAGATATGTGCTACTTTATTTGATGTTATTAACAGTCCGATTCCTGTGTTCACCTAAGTACTAACGATTTTTTTGTTTTTGCTCGCCAAACAAATTTGAGCGTACCGAATTTGTACGGATTTTTCACCCACCACTTTTTGTCCGCGTACGGATTTTATACTCTAAACGTCTGGCAGCCCTGTTTCCATCATATCGGTAAAGAACATTAAGGGCGTGTGTGAATCGGTAACAAAGTTCTATGGGGAAAGCTGTTGAATAATATTTTTACTATGGTGAGACAGTTTTGCCAATCTGCTGTGTGAAATGAAATATTTTTTGACAGCAGTAAATTTTTGATAACCGCAGATTTATTTGGAATAAAATATTACAAATTGAAGTGAAATTAATATTATGCATTTTTCAAAAATTTCACTAGCCTCATGAGCTACTGAAATTTTATTAACCTCAAAGTTGTCATAAATTTACTCGACGCGAACTTTTTTACCGATTCACACACGCTCTAAGTCAGAAAGCCAATTTTCATTCTCCAATTGCTTGGCTTTCTTCAATTTGCGTATGTGTATATAAAAATAATAAAATAAAAAAAACAACACAATGGCTGCATTTCTTTATTCATTCTGAACGTTTGGAATAAGCTTTTTTGTTTATTTATTCTTTAGAACGTTCCTGTTGATATGTTGACGTATATTTCAAACGCATTCTGTTTATTCCGGCTGTGAAATGGGATTATCCGGAATGTATAAAGAAACGCAGCCAATGGAAAATAATGTCTAGCAAGGTTATGTATTTTAAAAAGTAAAAAAAGCCAAAATGTTCTAAGCAAATAGAAAGTACAAAGAGCCTCACTTTTCTGAGCAAAGAGCCGCATTTGGCTCAAAGAGCAGCGGTTGCCCACCAACGCGTGCAAAAAGATGGGAGTTGGTCATCTTTTCGCTTCGCGCTGCTGCTGGAATGATCTATGTGGCATGTTTTGTGCATCTTCATACACTTCATCATATCTGTCAAAGCAAATCTGTCACGTAAAACGAAGCAAGCGTTTTATCTGGCATCAGCTTAAGCGATATAGATATTAAGGATAGTCTTTGATTTGTTATGCATTTGAAATTAAAAAAAAAAACTTAATAATGAGGCTCTTATAATTAGAATATAAAATGGTTAAGTAAATAATTGCAATTTTTATGATTTTATAAATAGTACGTTATGTTTAAAGCATGTGTTTTTTCGATAGTAAAATTCTACAACATTTTTAACCTTATAATTATTTTAGCTCTACTTACAAACAAATTTCTGGTACAATGAAGAAAAGCGAAACGAGAAATCAAAACATGATTTGGATCGGAAAACGTAAGTTTATTACCGAATTATTATCGTTGTTAGAAAAATAAAAATTTAAGACTATTTTTATTTATTTTAGTAATAAGATGTAAAAATAAAGTGTTCCAAGCAAAATACTTACATAATTAAAACTCGAAAACAGTGGAAAACGAATTATTACAAATTGGTGAGAATACTCCAAATTATTCTTCTGTAGGAACGAATTGTCAAAAAAATGCAGCAGATTCTCGGTCTTTAATTGACAACAATACATAAGTACTACAAAATTTACAACATTCAATGAAAATGATAAAACATTAAATAAAAAAGAAAACAGTGTGAGTATAACAGAATAGAGCTGCAAAACTATCGATTGTACTATCGATAGTATCTATAGTTTTATTTTTAGAAAAACACCGATTATTTTCTGGCGATAGTCGATAGTTTCAATAGTGCCGGTGCATTGAAATTTTGTGATCTTTTCTTAAATAAGTGACGATATAAATTTAACTAAGGACAATATTTAGAATTTCACGTTTAAGATGTAATATTTATACTTACATATGTGAAATATTTACATTTACATATGTACATATGTATATATTACACACATTTTGTTCGGAGTTGAAGTTTCCCTACATATACAACACGATAGTATACGATACTATCGAAAATATCGATAGTATTTTTCAAACTATCGAAACTATCGATAGTTTTGCAGCTCTATAACAGAACCATCGTGGAATAATACAAGGTGAAGTAATAAGAGCGAGAAGGAAGATTTGACACTACTTTATTGGAAGTGTTCGCCCCTATTTGAAAAATAAAGGAGCCATTTAAATTAACTAAATTTAAGCATAATTTATTATTTTTTATTCACCAAACAATTTTAGTATTGAAAGACAAACACTAACAATAACAAAGAGCTTTAAGGTTTTACAGTCAATGTAATAAATAATAATTAGAAAATTAAATAAAGATTTTGACGCTAATAAGAGTACTAAATGATGATGTACTAAATCCACGGAATAGTTCACACAAAGAGAAGCAATCCAGAACGTAGATACTGAAGACCACCCAGAATGAGAAGTGTCTGTATCATTCTAGATAAAAGGTCCAACTACGGTTTCAAAACACCATGTTAATGCCGCACAAACTAATATTTTTATGCAAAAAAATATGTTAAAATGGGGAAGTTAGTAAAAAAGATTTTTCACAAATAATACTTCACGGACTCACCGACAAATGCATACAAAAATCTTAATAAAAGTAGCCAAGCAGTAACCAATTAAAAGTGACAGTTAATGCCGTACAATTCGATGTATTGAGGCAAAAACACTTTTCGAAATAGTGAAATTAGTAAAAAAGATTTTGCACAAAGAATACTTTCAAGGACTCTCCGACGGATGCATAGATAAATCTTGATAATTTTATGAAGAGATGAAATTAGATACATGAAATCAGTAACGTGAATACAAAAACACAACTCGTGATATTAATAGCAGCCCTGCCCTGATTTTTCCGTACAGTATGGATTTTCAGGGGTGAAAATGGTTGTACGGATTCAACGTATGGACTTTTAGCTTTCCGTCAAGATGTACGGATTTTTCAGGTGTTTTTTTCATATATTAAAAATTTGCCTGTTTTACACATATCTCATAGGTTTCTTATAGTTCCTGAACCCTCAATTTTTTAATTAAAAAATCCGCTATGTTCATACTTGAGGGACTTATCTATTAAGAGCTTGACTATTTGTCATCCGATTTTACAAATCAATCATGAGAAGAGGATTTATAGGCCTTTAAAATAACGTATAACAATCTATTGGTAGAATTTGATTGTTGGCAGTTTTTGTCGCGTAAAATTAAAAAAAAACCCTAACTTTCTTTATAACTTTAACCATCGATTCAAGCATTATACTGTTACTCGGTAGGGTCGTCAACCCACCTGAAAAGTTTTGTTACATGTACATAAACTAGAACACACTGCTTGTTAAAAAGCTCTAGTCAGAAAAATAATAAGGTTGTCTGTGAAGCAATCAATAAATAGGACTAGTGGAAATATCTGTTTCTTTATTTTACGTTACCAAAAGTACGATTCCTGTATTCACCTAAGTACAAAAGACTTTTTTTGGTCGCCAAACAAATTTGAGCGTACGGATTTCGTGCGGATTTTCCACCCACCACTTTTTGTCTTTGGACGGATTTTAGACTCTAAACGTCTGGCAGCCCTGCTTAATGGTTATAAGGTTTAAATAAATAAATCTAAATATGGGAGGTTTATAAAGATTAATCGATTATACCTTTGCCTTTCAAGCGCTTATTTAAATAATTTATACGGAAATGCGTCCTGCACATTTATTGGAAGGTCTATTTCATGGCTGTGAGATAATAATTTTTCGGAGAAGTTGGTGGTGCCAGAAATGACTTCGCCATTAAATATTTGAAATATCCAACTTATTCAGCCTAACCTGCTTCGCTGGTGAATGAAACAAACGGACGCCTTCGTAAGTCCACGTTTTTCTGCAAATTTCACAGCTTGGCTTAGGCTTAATTTTTGAATCACAAATAAATTATACAGTATTTTTCCAGAAAAATTCAAACGGAAAGTTTTAGAAAAACAAAATTTCTACTGTGATGATTAAAAGTCAACGGTGATAGTTAAAATCTAATTCCTTTTATTAACAAGCGATGCAACCTGAACAGCGTGGAATAGACGACTCAAAAGAGTGCCTGATTTAAAGTATAAAGAACCTCAGAATGCAAAAGCTTACTTTCGTTAAGTTTCGTTATGTCGATTACAGTGTGTATACACGATACAACATACCACAACACCCCCTCTTTTAACTCGTTTATCCATGCATCACAGTTACAAGTAGTTTAAATCAATTCAAATAAATGTATGTATTGTATACTACAATTAAATAAAAATTAAACAAGAATGTTACAAATTTATACAGTGTATTTTCTAACTCTTAAATTATATCTATGTGCCGATTGATTCGTATTCTCATTACAATCTTCAACATTTGATTTGCTCTTACTCGCCATTTCTTCCTCTCCGATGCTTGGTGAATTACTTGGACTCTCAGCGTGCTTGTTCGACTTTTCATGAAAACTTTCAGCTACCACTAATTTGTCCATTGTATTAGAGAAAACAGCAAGAGCTGTTTGTCAAACATGATTTTACTTTCGCATGCTATCGTTTGATTGGCATGCCTCTTCCAAACTACTCGACCAGGAGTTGAAAAAATCTTAGCCATTATACAATCTCCTTTCTTAAATTTATTTTGTTTACAACGATTATAATTTTTCTTTTGATTATTTTGTTGTTTATTTACGTTTTCTTTTATCAACTTTAGGGTTTTTCTCTCTGAACTTTCCTAAATGGATTTAACACATCCAAGCGAGTGCGCAACTGCCTACCGAACATGAGTTGTGCCGGTGATACGCTGCACAGTGGTCAAAAAATGGAATTCAATGTTCATAATTCACTGGAGCCTTCATTTCTCAACCAATTTGATTTTATTTTTTTTAAACGAAAGCTTATAAAATTTGCAAGAGACTAGTTCAGCCCGATTTTTGATTTTTTATTTGTTTATATAAAATTTTTTAGTGCAAAGTGCAGAAAAAGAGTCAATTTTGAAGAAAATCGATTCTCCTGTTCCAGTTAATAAATGGTACATAATAAAAACTAGTTTAAAACAACTGTAGGGTTCCCCCAAAACGGAAAAAAAATTCACAAGAAAAATTTGAAATGTTTTAAAAAAAATTTCACCACAATAAAAAAATTATTTTTTTTTGAGTTTTTAGAAAAATGTTGGATATGCAGTTTTATAGACCATTAAATTTTAGTATAATAAAGTGCAAGTTTCAAGTGGCTAAGAGTTCGCGTTGATTTTTAATAATTATTTTCCGCTAACATTTCGAGCACGTCTGCATGCTAAATGGGAATTAAAAGCGTTCTCTTTGTCTCGTGTAATTTTTATTCTTTCCGCTAGATGGTTTGTAGCTTTGCATATTGGTTCTTGTGTATGTGAAACATATGAGTACATCTAAAATATCTTAAAATACATAGTTCCGTTTCACCTTTTTTGCCTGCAGGTTATTAATATAAGATACTAGTTGCGTTCGACAAGTCAAAAATTTGTAATATTTTTTCCAAATTTTTACTAGATGGCGTTCGATAACGACAAAAAAATATCCAACACACACAAATTGAGAGAGCAAGCGTTCATTTTGATGCAAGAGAAGCGTTAATTTTGTACTGGTAAAATTTTAGTCAGCAAAAATTATGCAACACGAAACCAAAACATATGATCACAAAACATATGGTTGCAATTTTTGTAAACAAATAAAATTGCATTTTTCGAGTTTTGGTATTTATATGCTTTTTGGCTGCCTGCTATGTGACTTTATGATAGTGTCAACTAGTTTTTACTTCTAGAAATGTTCCTGGCGAACATTGAACGTTCACATTCCTTTTTTCTTCCATGTAGGCAACATGAATTTCAGTTTGTTTACAAATAAAACATAAACAAAGTCAGCTGGTGTGTCTTCTTCTTCCGGTTTTTGCTAGTGATGGCTAATTTCCTGTTCGTTTACTTTTTTGCTTTTTCTTCTCTTTGGGAGAGAATTTTCGCTTACGCTCTTGATTTTGATTGTTGGCTGGTGTTGGCTAATTTTGTTATCGAACGCAACTATTATTCAAGTTGTGAATTTAAATTTAGAACAGTACTTCTACAGCGCAGTTTCTGCAGTAGGTAATTTTTAGATAGTAAACCTAAAAATGGATTCGCTTAAAATTTCAAAGAAAGTGCTTTGTGATTTTTTTATAGAAAATGGCACAAATGATTTAGAAAGCCTTTTGAATGATTTGCAAAAAAAGTATGACCTAAATGAAGATCAAATTGAGGTAGTTAAAGGAAAATTTAATCGTAATTTTCTTGCCAGTTTCCGCAAAAGGTGGATTCTACCGTATAATAACAGAATTCGATTTGAGGCTAAATTTCAACATTGGTTGGATTCTGAAATTGTAATTGATTTTTCTCAATCTGAAAAATCAGTAGGTAGAAGAAGTTCTGATATGGTTTTTGAAAATGCCTCTACGTCCACTAAGAGAAGAAAATTAATGGAGATAGAAGAAAGCTAGCTATTCAGCAGAAGAAATTCAATCAGCATTTCTCAGAATCTTACGCCGTAGAGGTAGAAAACACGTAGCTAACACTATTATCAACATGTTGAGCGAACCAGCTGATTATCTAGAAACTGTCCCAAAACCTTTTTCTGCAGAAGAAGCTCTAGCTTTAATGCAAGATATGAAGCTATCTAAATTTCAATATAATGTTATGCGTGTTGAGGCAAAAAAGAGAAATGCGAATATTTTTCCTACATATCCGAAAATTTTAGAAGCGAAAAAAGAATGTTACCCGGAATAGGTACATATTATAGAAACAGAAGCTCGCGCCAATCTCCAATCATCTGTGAACCACTTGGTTGAACGCCTTTTAAAATCTCCAAGCATTGTTCACCCAACTGTAGACTCAAGAAAGAAACCAGTTAGTTTAGAGTTAGAAATTAAATACGGTTGTGATGCAGCTTCTGGCCAGGCAACTTTTAATTAAAAATTTTCGGATTCAAATTCATCAGATGAGACTATTTTTACAATTTCGATGTGCCGTTATGTCTAAAGACAACAAATACAAAATAAATTCTCTGGATGAATCCTCATCCTGCATCTCCTAAGCGCTGCTTACCAATTCTTGTAATGCTTGCGAAGGAAACAACAGAAAGAACCAAAAAGGAAATGGGAAATATTGCTGATCAGATAAAAAGATTGAAAGCAACAAATGTTACTACTTGCAACGGTACATATGCAGTAAACGTAAACATGAAGTTAACAATGGTTGGCGGCAAGGTTTGTCATGCACTCACTGATACTCCAGCTAATACGAATTGCTACATTTGTGGTTCTAAACCAAGTGAAATGTAAAATCTAACAAAAGTTATTGAAAAAGAAAAAATTACCACCCACTTTCTTTTTGGTCTTTCGGTTTTGCACGCTAAAATTCTGTTTATGGAATGCATTTTGCACATTGCCTACCGCTTAGATTTTTGTGAATGGAGAGCAAAGTCAAAAGAAAAAAAGCTTTAACTGAAAAACAACTGCAACAGAACCGAGCAGAAAA